CTGTAGGAGCCTCGGTCGGATATCCAACTCCTCCCACATCCAAGTCGGCCATTTTAATTAGGTCATGTGACTAGCAGCTTTCTGAGGTGGAAACGAAACTTTACTGTCTATATGAAATCAGAAGACAAACGATGTCCTAACCCTAACCCTAACCCTGACGCTAAACCTAAACCTGACCCTAAACCCTGACCATAAACCTAACCCTGACCCTAACCCTACACCATTCATAATTGTGAGAAATAAATATTTTTTGGTGAAACTTCTTATAGTACAAACCTATTTAACATACACTATATTAAGCTAATATTATGTATAGAGTTTAATTCAGTGTTTGCACGATTAATTTCACTAATTTTAAATCAATGTCTATATTGCCATGAAGACATTAGGATAATGCATGTTCATTGTAACATATCTGTATTTGGGAAATTATCTTAATAGCTACTGTCACGTCAACGAAGTTTAAAAAAACGTGACCGAAAATAACGTGAATGCAGTTTTTTATGCTGCATTTAAAACTTTCTATTGTCAATTACTTTTACAGACTGAAAATAAACCATCAAACCGCATCAAAGTTTGCCCTTCATATCTTTACTTTCACTTTAACGATCTTCCTGTTGGTGACCTAATCAAAATGGCCGATTTGGATGTGGGCGGAGTCGGACGTCCGTCCTTGGCTTCCTGCCCACCTGTAGAAGCGCTGCCGGATCTCCGTGACGACCGTCCCCGGGATGATGTCCGTCTCCACGGCGCGGTAGGCCCGCCGCGCCGGGGAAATGGCGCTGAACACGTAGTTATCGGAGATAGGCCCCGCCCCCACGTCCCCGTTAGCGTCGTACTGCCAGAAGTCCTGAGTCATCCTCACCCGCCTCCTGTCCGGACTGCCAACGGGGAGAGACGTTATATAGACTGTTCCAGTTCAATATTATACGTATAACAGGTCATTTCTGACCGTCGTCAACGAGGATTCGGTCAGTTTCTACGACAACAGGAGAAATGTTGGACAGCAGAAGCTCTACTTACGAATTTAATTTGTTCCAGGACTTCCTGTGTTCAAATATTCATATATTGGATCAAATATGCCCATCAGAATAACATGTAATTCCTATAATTCGTTCCAAAAAACCTACGATAACTCCTATTCGGCCCTTTGGAGGAAAAGCCATGGGGGGCATTGGTGCCCCCCCCACAGTAAGGAGAGAAGCTATTGGTTGTCCTAAAAGTGGCTAAAAGTCCCAAAAATGGTCCGTATAATCTCATGGCACGTGCCTGCTTTTAAATTGTTCCTCTAACAATCAATTCTATACTTTTACTGATCTCCTTCCCCTTAATATTTTTAATGTTTGTTCATGTTGTCGACGTTTCTTTTCGACGTTCCCATTATGAGAGAGGTTTACTGATCTAAACGGGACTTTTACCTGCTTAAATATAGGTTAAATAAAAAAATAATTAAATCCAACCATTTCTTTATATCTGATTATTTTCAAAACACCCCAAACCCTTTTAGACCTTCTGTCACAATTTAATTAAACGGCTTTAGCCAACCTTTGAATTCAGGGTTTGGCTCCTTGTCCTTTATGTATTTTTGATAGAAGTCGTGATGAGCTAACCGGCTAGTTGTTAGCTTATGATAGAGGGAGGGGCCAGTGAGGGGGAGGGGCCTATGGCTTCACCTGCAGCTCATTAAGGAAAACGAGTTATCGGCCTCCAGAAACTGGGGTTGTCACGATACTAACATTTTCAACTCGATACCGATACCCAGGAAAATATTCGATACTCTATACCATTTTCGATACCACAAGGATAAAAACAAAGACCCAGAATTTAACTGAATTTGGACAGGTTAGTGTCTTTGGTTTCAAACTGACCTGTTACTGATTTTATGGTGACCAGTGGCCCGCATTAATGTTGGCGTGTTGTTATTAACCATTAGCCTCAGCTAGCAATTCAAGGCTAACGTCATGTTAATGATCATAAACAACGTAAATAAATAAATAAATAAATCAGAGAGAAGGGGCACAGCGTTGGGGGGGGGGGGGGTATCGATACTTTTGAAAATGAGTATCGTATCCAGATATAACATTTTAGTATCGATACTTTTTGGAGTATCGCTAGTTTTGACAACGCTACCAGAAACCCCAGAAAAAGTCTCTGAATTTGTCGTTTTTTTTAGCTAAAGAGTTTCCCGCCGAGTCTGAAAAGTCTCTGAGAGGGATGCGTCTGGACTCACAGGTAGGTGGCGCTGTGCAGCAGGTTGGTGTCCATGTCCAGCATGAGTCTGTAGCACGGGCTGAGCACCGGCAGCAGCCTCCTGCCCCTCCGGGCCCCGCCCGCCACCCCGAGCCTCCCCAGCCGGACCGGCTTCGCCCTGTAGGTGTGCGAGGAACCCCCGGAGAACCGGACGGAGAACGACCTCAGCTGGAGCCCGCCGAGCTCCGCCACGAAGAAAAGATCAAAGGCGGAGAGGGGCGGGGCCGACGCCTGGACCTGCAACCGGGAGGGAGACGGGGGTCAGGACTCGGATTCCTGACCCCCTGGTGTCATTCAATTCAATTCAATTCAATTTGATTTATATAGCGCCACATCACAACAACAGTTGTCTCACAGCGCTTTCCAAACAGAGCAGGTCAGACCCTACTCTGAAGTTAATTACAGAAACCCAACAATTCCCACCATGAGCAAGCACTAGGCGACACAGGCAAGGAAAAACTTCCTTTTAACAGGCAGAAACCTGGAGCAGAACCATGGCTCAGGGTGGGCGGCCATCTGCCTCGGCCGGTTGGGGGTGAGAGAGAGAGAGGGCGAGAGAGAGAGAGAGAGGGCAAGAGAGAGAGAGAGAGAGAGAGAGAGAGAGAGGGAGAGAGAAGGACAGAGGGAGCAGAGAGAGGCAGCCAACACAGCAACACGTAGACTAGATGAAAAATGTCGCCAAAGTCCCTCTTCCTTTTCAGTTGTCTGTTTCCACCACCTGTTCCATATGATTGTCATGTGATTGTCATGTGATTGCCTCGTTATGTTAGAGTATTTAAACCCTGTGTTCTGTTGCCCTCCTTGTTGAGTCTTCGTTGGTCACCCAGAAAGTCTTGTGTGCTTCTTTGCTCTTTTGCCTCAAGTCGCTTTTTGTTCATTGGATCTTATATCTCAGAATCAGAATAAGGTTTTTTGCCAAGTTACAAGGAATTTGCCTTGGTGTTTGGTGCACAACACAACACTTCTATGAGAAGCAAGAAATAAAATGTAGAAATAAAGATATAGAACAGAAATGATAAAACTGAAAAATACAGTCTTTGCCCTTGTGGAATTACTTACCTTTTGGATGTATTTAGTTTCTGGGATCTAACTACCTGTGTTCTGGACTTTTTACCTTTTTCTGGAAACTTCTGAGCGTTTGATTATTTTTGGAGGGGGGGGCTGACCTGAGCGGGGAGCGGCCGCCCGGCCTCATCGTAGACGGCGGCGTCCGGGAACGCCACCGACACGTTGACCAACGCCGCCACGTTCCACGCCAGCGGGTTGTAGACGAGGACCTGCAGCTCCGGGGTCGGATCCACGCCTGCCGGGGAGGAATCTCCGGCTATTCAGAATCAGAATAAGAAATACTTTAATAATACCAGAGGGAAATTATTTTTGTTACTGGCTCCATAAATAAAACAGCGGCATATACATATATACATGTCTGTACATATATACATATATACAGTATATATACAAAATTCCTCATATGATATAGATAGATATATACATAAAAAAACTATTAAAAAAACAAAAAAAAACTATATGTGTATATATATATATATATATAGGTCAAAATAGTGCCCTTAGTGTGAGTGTGTGTGGTTGTTGGTCCTTGTGTGTCTCTGTGTGTCCCTGTGATGGACTGGGGACCGTCCAGGGTGACCCCGCCTCTCCCCATTGGCTACTGGGATAGGCTCCGCCCCATTAGGGAATAAGGGGTTAGGATTATGGATGGATGGGTGTTTGCACCTTTTCCGGGGCCCCGGGACGCGTGGGGCAGCAAAACAAGCGCCTCCAGCAGCTCCTCCACGCCCGCCATGGCCCCCGAGAGGTGCTGCATGTACATGTCCGCCACCTTCGGGGATTCGGTGCCGGTGATGCCGTCGTGGTGCTGGACCTGAAACGGAAAGCTCAGCTCATCCAAATCCGTCTTTCCGTCTTCCGACAGTTTTTACCCGACAGCCATAACAAAACTAAATGCAACCAAAATAACCATTAATCATCATGGATGATGGGTGTGAGAATGTTTTTTTTATCAGTTATTTATTAACTCATTGGCTGCCAAAGACGTCTATAGACGTCTTTTATGTTTTTCAACGAGAGTGGCTGGGGGACGATCTGCTAAAGCTTGTCCGTAAATATCAGGCTTCTAGACAGAGTATGTACTAACAAATTGACCCTCTAGGGGGCAGTGCCACTTTTGATGGGAGATGAGCATAGACTGTAGACAAATAAGAAAAAGGTAACGGTTCGATATAAGAGAACATGTCGCCAGTGAGACGCAAGTCGAGGAAGAACGGAATAAGGTAGAAACATTTCTTTTCCTGATGAAAGAAGAGAGTCTACTCTTTCTTTTGGTGTGTTCGGTGTTTACATAGTCATAGCACAAACTATTCTGTGGCTCTTTAAAAATCATTCAAAATGCTCAAAAACTCTGGCAGTATGGGACTCTCTGTTCTGAAAATGGCTGGCAGTCAATGAGTTAATCATCTATTATATTGTGTATAAATTGTGGGCATATGCACTGATTGATGGCACTTTTTTGGGGGGGGGGCTCGCCTCTGAGACGGCCCAGCGGAGCGCCCGGAGGCGGTCCAGGGCCCAGGCCCCGCCCACCGGCCCGTGCGGGTGGAGGATGCGGTTTCGGGCGAACAGCGTCTCGGCGGCGTGCAGCCGGGCGCTGGCCCGCCTGGCCACGCCCTTCAGGACGTTTCTGGACGCGTAGAAACCCGTCCAGGCCTGGAACGCCTCTGCAAAACACCACAGAGCTTCAGAACAGAGGTTCTTAACCCAAACCCCCCGGTTTCATACTGTTAACCCGATTCTTTAGTTGGAAACCTGAGAATAAACCAGAGTCGATCAACAGTAAAAATTGACATTTATTGGGTCACAGGTAAAGTATTTCAGCGAAACCTCTCTCTCAGGGTCTCAGTGGGCAAAGAGCCCTGAGATCTGGGGGTGATGGGTCTTTGTCTCCTAAACTGGGCACACCCCTCAAAAGGAGGACTGGACACAACCAAGTCCTATTGGTTAGTTATCTGTAAGACTAACGAGCCGGGTTCTAATTCATGTTGATGACATTGGAATGTGGTACCAAATGATGTGTGTATGTGTTGACTTAAAGACGTGGATCTAATGCAACAGAGAAAGAGGATAGAAAGAAAAAGAGAGAACAAAGAGAATCTGTGGTTACAGCCAGAGACTTCAACACAAAATATAGTTATAATATATAAGGAAACAATCAATAATATGCATAGATCATGTGATAGCAAACAATGCTAAAAGGTGTATTTATAACCAAATCCTAACAATACGCACATTCACTGAACCTTCTTTAGTGATACATAAAACATGATTTATTTTCTAAATTCAAGACATAGGTATATGTTTTTTTTACTGGAGCACGAAACGAGCCGTACATGAACATCAGCTGCTCAGATTACAAAACCAACACAGAGCATGAACTCACAACTAATTACAGTATTCTTTATCCCTGGGGTTAACAAGCCTCCATATTTCTATCAGACCCATATCCTCCATCAGAAGACCAACAGCCATTCTATCTTTTGGAATAATATTAGAGAAGGTAGTTTTGTCCAGAGCCCCATCAAAAACTTGGTTGAAATCCTCACCTATTATCATAGGACAACCCCCATCATTACCCACTAACTTATTAATTTTATGACAGAAATCTGGATTTTCTTCATTGGGGGCATATATATTGCATACAACTAATTACACTGTTAATTTTTTCTTGCACCCAAAAAATATTTCTGCCAAATAAAGGAATTTCAGTCCCCCTTACTATTTTCTTCATTTTAATAAAAATGACTTTTTTAAAGAATTCATAATTTTTTTATAACTTTTTTTTTTTTAATTAGAATTTAAATTTAAATTCATTTTTAGTTTTGCCGGTGTGAGACTAGAGATGCAGACAGTACTATGACTCCCATCCTGATACATGAACCCATGTTGTACATATCCGTCCGACCAATTTCCTTTATTGGCACTACATATTTAGTATTTAGGATTAAAATACAAAGAAATAATCAACACGACCTACAGCGTGCACTAAACTCCCCACAGCTCTGAACCCTGAGACCGACTCAGGTTAAGAGTCCTCCTCTCTTCCCGGGGGATGAAGAGGCCTCTCACCTGATGAGTAGGGCAGGAAGTCTTCGCTCCCGCGGACGTCCCAGGTCCGGTTGGCCTGGTGAACGGCCTGGAAGTACTGGCTCAGGGTGGCGTACCGGACGGAGACCCCGAACTCTTCGCTGTTCCGGTTGATGTACTCCATCAAAGGGTCCATGTTGCCGAACTGCACCGACGCGTTGTAGAACTGTTTGTCGCAGCCCTGAAAGGAAGGACGGTCTTTAACTCATTGGCTGCCAAAGACGTCTATAGACGTCAATTCAAATACAACCGTTGACTGCCAAAGACGTCTATAGACGTCTTTTATGTTTTTCAACGCGAGTGGCTTGGGGACGATCTGCTAAAGCTTGTCCGTAAATATCGGCTTCTAGACAGAGTATGTAGTAACAAATTGACCCTCTAGGTGGCAGTGTCACTTTTGATGGGAGATGAGCATAGACTGTAGGCAAATAAGAAAAAGGTAACGGTTCGATATGAGAGAACATGTCGCCGGTGAGACGCAAGTCGAGGAAGAACGGAATAAGGTAGAAACAAAACATTTTTCCTGATGAAAGAAGAGAGTGTACTCTTTCTTTTGGTGTGTTCGGTGTTTACATAGTCATAGCACAAACTATTCTGTGGCTCTTGAAAAAAAAACTCTGGCAGTATGGGACTCTCTATTCTGAAAATGGCTGGCAGTCAATGAGTTAAATATGAGACCTCTCATCCTAAAAAGCCTCTTCACCTCAAAAACTGCCGGCTTAAAGGCTGCCTCTAAAGTCTGAAACGGCGAGTATTGGTCACCGGACCAATAATTAAAAGAGCTCCGAACTGGATCGAAGAATCTGTTTGGGAACCTTGTGATTTAAAGTGTGGTCAAAACTGACTAGTCCACCCAAAGAGGTGCTCTCCAAAGGAGGGCAAAGTCCAAACTCTGGACAGAGAAAACAGGTGGTTTCAGAGAGATGTCCAGGAAGTTGTTTACGTTAAACTGGAGAAGCAGAAACAGGAGCATCGTCTCTCATCTTTAGCCCTGTAATGCCAAATGTATCATATTTGATTCATACAGTTTCTGAAATGTTTTGCGTCTTACTCCTTTTGCATAATTTAATGGTAAAAACTTTGCCAAAAATCCTATTGTACACAATCAGATACACCTGATAACAGTGGGCAGAAGACTACACAAAAAATAATCTTGATTTATCGCATAGTAATAAATTATTAATATTAAAAATGTATCTTTCTTTTTTCTTTTTACATATTTTGTTAAAAGGCCAAATAAGGAATTCAAACCAAAAAAAAAAGTTATTTTCTGTTTTGTTTTATTTTTGGATCAGGCTTTAAAGGGTTAGGGAAGTTTCGAAGCCATCCAAACTTTGGATAATTGGCTAAAACTACCTCATTTAGACGATTAATTGACTTAAACTGACACTTATTGCCATATAGAACAGAAGAGGCTTTTGGGATGAGAGGTGAAACCCGATAAAGAAGCCAGTTGGCCCTAATGGAAGCTCTTGGGGTTTCTACAGGAAGAGGGTGGTTTAGTGTACAGACCCAGGGCCAGAGCACATGGTTGGTCCTGAACCACGCCGCCCTCTGCTTGATGTTCTCCACCATGGTCTTGGCGTAGGCGTGAACGGTCTCCGTGGTGACGGGGAGGCTCATGTTGGGGTAGACCCCATCTGTTGGGGGGTCCGGGAACAAGGCCACTCCGTTCCAGTAGAAACCAGAGCTGAGGGGCAGACAACATCAATTTTATCAAATGTTATGAGTATTTACTCTGTTTTTCTGCTTCTTCATCCAGTTTTGTTTTTTCTTTGATCTGAGTTTTTATTTGACCATATATCATATTTATTACCTGTGACCTGTACTGTACTTTTCCCTTTCGAGTTTCTACTGTTTTTTTGTATTTTTTTGTTAAAATGTTGTTATTTTTTTGTTACAGTTTTGTTATTTTTTGTTATTTATTTGGGGAAATCTGCTGGTTTCCTAAACTAGGATTTCTTTTTTACATGGATTTCAATGAGTTGGATATTTTTTATATTTTTTCTAATTGGATTACAATTAATTGGATTTTAGTTTCCTTCTTTTGGTTCAGAGATCATTTTTGCTGTGATTTTAGAGGAAATTAAATTGACAAAAAAAATTCAACTGAACTGAACAAATGTAATTATCATGACCCCTTTGAGTCAGTATTGCGTTTAGGTGACTTAAATCAAGAAAAAACAATAATAAAAGTGAGTTTGGGGCACATTTTTCTTCTGTTAAATCAGCCAAACGGGCTGCATGTGCCCCTTTTCAGCCACAATTACAAACACTGGAAGTCAGCTGGGGATGTAGATCTTAAGGATCTTCAGACCTACAAACACCGGCTTGATTAAAAAGTCTAAACTAGGTTTATGGTGTAGAGAAAAACACATTCATGTGGTTTTTGAGAGCACCTTTGCAGACATTCAGACTGGAAATGGGCCATAAAACTGCACCTGCTGGGAGTGTGAACGCACAACCTGGACGGCTTCAAACCAAAATAAAGAAGAAGTCTAAAGTGGCCCACCTGTTGGAGAAGGGCAGGTGAGACGGGGTGCAGTAGCTGAACTGGTCCATGGTGTGGGTGAACATCTCCTGATCGCCTTTTAAGGAGGGGGAGCCTCGCCACACAAACTGGAGTTTCTACATCCAGAAAGCACACAGTCACATTCAGGCCTGTTTTTCTGTTTTTTACCTTTTCTTGTTCAGTATTATGAACTAAAATGTGAGTACTGTGCTATGCTGAACACATTTGCTTTGCTAAGAGAGGCTTTGTTAGTGAGAAGCCCCCGTTGATTAGTCAAAACTGCCTTATTTATTCTTTTTTGGTAACAAACTTTACGTGTGTCCAACAATGAGAGGGACAGGGAAGAAAGACAAGCAGCGGAAAGGAGAGAGATCCTTTAGATGGAAAGAGAAAGAAAACTAGAATACTTGTGAGAAACCTGTGAGAATGCGGAGTGCTGAATGGAGGAAGAAGAAGGGAAAAAAAGCTGAAAAAAGACATAGAACTGAAGAGTTGAAGAAGAATGGAAAAAGGATGAGAAGAACTGAAGAGTGGGAGACTTTAATGGGATTTGAACCAGCGACTTCTCATACTGGAGTCAAACCCTCTATACTCAGAAAGGCCGTATGGGACTACATAACAACAATTTAAAGGGGCTGAAATGCCAGTGACCACTAGAGGGAGGCATGCTTTTGACTCCATTCATTTCAATGAGAGAAAACAAAAACAGAAAAATTTAAATAACTTAAAAAATTGAAAATATTTGAACACCAAACGTCATAGCTACATAGTGCTGGAGGAAATGAACATTTTGGTTCCTTATTTGTTGAAATAGGCTGAAAACTGTGGGCGTGGTTAGACGCAGAAGAAGTGAAACAGGAAATCAAAAAGAAAGACAACAAAACAAGACAACCAGCTTCTGTGTCGATACAAAATAAAGCGTTTTCTCCACCTTGCTTTTCTGCATGCGGTCTTTGAGGTCGAAGTCCACGCGGGAGATGAGGTGCGCGTTGAACCCGGCCAGGGCGAACAGCACCGGCGTGGCGGCGGACGCCCCGAACGGGTCCACGTGCCACGAGAACTGGGGCCGCACGCCCAGCGTCTGGTACAGGAAGCCGTGGCCCTCTGAAAGCAGCAGGAGGCTCTGAGCCGAGGCCCTCCAGGTCGCCCCCGGCAACGGGAGGCTCTGAGCCGAGGCCCTCCAGGTCGGTTACGGCCTCATCGTGCACCACCTATTTATTTGTTATATTTGTGTTGTTTATTTGTTATATTTTTACATATATATACTTTCTTGGTTCTGAGTTTTTATTTGACCATATATCATGTTTATTACCTGTGACCTGTACGGCGCTTTTCCCTTTTGAGTTTTTACTGTTTTGTTATTTTTTTGTTATTTTTTTGTTATTTTCTGTTATATTTTTGTTATTTTTTGTTATATTTTTGTTATTTATTTGTTATATTTTTGTTATTAGCTGATCGTTCCTGTGCCTGAATGTTCTCTGTTTTTTTCCATCTTCCCCCACAGAAAGATGGTCACCCTTCCAGGTTCCGGTTCTTCTCTCCATTAAGGTTTCTTCATGTTTAAAAGGGAGTTTTTTCTGTCCACAGTCACCTTGTGCACGCTTGGGATGGAAGTGAAGATTTGGGGCAATCTGCTGGTTTCCTGAACTAGGAAGTTTTTTTTTAAAACTGGATTTGAATGAGTTGGATATTTTTGGTATTGAATGAACTTGAACTGATTTTATTACAATTAATTTGATTCTAGTTTCCTTCTCTTGGTTCTTAGGGTTCAGAGATAGCTTTTTCTGTCATTTTAGGCGCAAAATAAAATTGACAAATGTAATTATCGTGACCCCTATGAGTCAGTATTGTTTTTAGGTGACTTAATTCAAGAAAAAACAATAATAAAACTGAGTTTGGGGCTCTGAGCCGAGGCCCTCTGCCTCACCCGTCAGCTGCAGGATCTGGTCCTCCATGTCAGTCACGGCCTCATCGTGCATCACCTGGCCTCCCAGGACGAACTCCAGTCGGCCCTCTCTGACGAGCTGTCGCACCTGAAAGACACCAAACGACTTTTCAACCTGGCCGAGACCGGCGAAGCACCTCGCTGTTGTTTTTACGGCAGGAAATAAAATGTGTTGGTGTAAAAATCTCAGTCATCCAGATGAGTCTGAGTGGATTCTGGCTCTTGGAAACGTTTTTCCTCTGATCCTAAAGGCTTCTTCAGCTCTAAACAAAATGTTGGGCAAGACCAGCTTTAAGCAGAGAGGGGGGGGGTTACAGTTCAAACCCAGACAGAGGGTCTGATTTACTCAGATTGTAACAAAGATTTCAGTTTAGCTGCTGATAAAACAGGAGTTTGTGGGCTTGTCTGTGAGCATCTGAATGCCATTTTAAGACAAAACAAAGATTTTTTACTCGCACTCAGCACACAGTATTGATCGTCTGTCTGTCTCCTGGGGGTCATGTGACCGTACCTGTTTTTTATGGTCATCTGAGGCCACAGTGTCCCACCACAGTCGGAAGAACTCCTGCTCCACGGCGATGAACCGGCGCTCTTTGACCTTTGACAGCTCCTCGATCACGCTGGTGTACACATTGGCTGCATAGGCGTGCATGCTTTCCTGGGAAAGATACACATTCAAATTACTTCAGAGTCAATTTTAAAACTCTGATCCTCACATTTAAAGCTCAATCTGACCAAAAGTCATATCTGATAGAGCTCATAGAACCGAGTCGAGGCAGATGGAGGGTTTAAGGTCATTTTTAGTACCATTTTTTGGTTTCTACATTAGAAAACCAATTTCATTGTCATCTTATTTTGGTAAATTGGACCAATTTGGAATTTATTAAATTTGATTTGATTGAATTGTGGTTATATTTTGCATCTTTGAATCGCCTTAATATGACATTTGTATCTATTTTAATCCTTTAATCAATCAAATCCAACTGAATAAGAAAACTTACACATACGTGTAGATCAATATAAGTAAATAAACAAGCAAGCAAACAAACACACAAACACATAAATAAATAAACACATAAACAAACAAACACACAAACACATAAATAAATAAATAAATAAATAAATAAATAAATAAATAAATAAATAAATAAA